TCTTTCCTGCACAAAAGGAATTGAACATTAATGACTCACGGAAGATAAAAAACCCCCACAACATTTAAATTCTTGTATATCCAAATAATTGCACTTCAGTGCAGTTAAGATAACTTCAGGATTGAAATGTTGTCATTTACACAACCAACCACACGAGCTATCAGTGGACAATCCCAGTAAGGTACGTACAGCACAAACAAAAGAACTCCATCAGGAAGAGAGATTTCGTATCAATGGAAACTTGAAGACGAAAAGATTGTTTAAGAATTTAAGAGTGGCCAAGGGAAATTTGACTAAAATCCCCTTCAACAGCAAGCTGTGTTAAAGGATAATTTACATGTGTAAAATATGGATTTGGTATTCAAAAGGAAAAAAGTTCTGAAACACTAGCTCAGAAGAAAACTTGCGATGAACGGCTCTACCTGAACAGATCCAGATGGAAACAAAGAGCTAATAACAAGACAGCAATTTCCTACTCAAAGAAGTTACGATGGTGGACAGCTGAGAACGTGTACCTCAGCGGAAAGGAACACTGAAAGGAAACTACCCAGAACACTCCCGTTTTCCTGCGTTTCTCTGACGCAGGAGCGCACAGAATCCTTACTGCATGCCTTGGAATGAATTTGCAGACCGTATACTACTACAATAAAGTAATTTTCAGTACAATCTGTTCTCCCCCCTGCCCAATTAACTACAGTTTGTTATCTTCCTTCCAGGCTACTTTTTTCTTACAAAGGCAGTCCATCGTATACATTCTATGTGGGCAAACTAGTGACAATTTTGGGGGGTAGGGGGAGACATTTTTCCTTTGTCCTGAACATCTTATTCTTTTACTCCTTATTTCTTCCCAACGACATCATCATAAAGCTGTCTGAACTATTTTGTCTCCAGTAATGCAGCCTGGGAAATGTTCTTTCAGCTTACTGTTTTGTCTTCTCGAAAAAGCCATCCCGTTTGGGCACGTGTGAAGGTAATTGATTTGGTTGATAATGTTGCTGAGTAAATATCACTGCTCATCAGAATGTCAACCTCTTCTTCTGTTTCCATCTCAGATTCCTAGAAGAAAAATTCCCAAATACTGAATAGAACTTGACTAAACACAAGGGGGCCAATGAGTCACACCCTTGCATTGTTAACAACTGAACTGGCCAGTGACTAAACGGATGCAAAGCAGTGGCAAGCGAGTTTGAAAACCCACTTGAGGTCACCAAAATTAAGTGCACTGGAAAGATTAAAAGTAGCATGTGTCATAAGTTAAAACATATTTGCCTACTCAGAATGATAAAAGTTTTTTCCAAAAGATTCATGTTCTAGCTTTTTCCTCATTTAGAAGTCTGTATTCAAAAGCACTGTTTTTCGTAACAAAATTTTGTGTCACCTATACAGCTTAAGTTATAACAACTGAGCAAAAAATTCTTTGGTCTACATTTCTTCGGAGCTTGTTTGGGTCTTTCCGAGAGGCACATTTTGCTTAATAAAGTAAGTCAGACTTCTGATGTGAAGTAAAAGCTTGAGGTATTTTCACACCCTACATTCACACAGATCTTTACCTCATGATGTATTCGCTGGTAAACTTTTTGTTCATTGTCTAAAACTACAAAAGATTCAGAGGGTGCAGCATCACCGTTAAAAATGAAGCTTAAATCCCCTCGTTGGCACTTCATGTCGGTAAAGTCTATGAGAGTTGTGTCCAGCCTGTGAAAATATACCAATACTTTAAAAGAAGCTACCCATAAACACTCAAATACACTAGTAAGTTCAGTTTGCAAGCAAAAGCATTTCTTTCAAATCACAACCAAACACACTAAGGCTTAAGCTTTCATAGAATATTTTGTAAATGAAACCTGAATGCAGAAATAAAAAAATTTGCTACTAAGTTTCACATTATAACACCTCTACTGTTATAAATGCATTCCAAATCATTCTTATGCTAACTTCATAAGAAAAGGTAAAGTTTTCTTCAGAAAACTTTATCTCAAAACTGCCAGCATGAGGAAGTGACAGAATTTATACAGCCAGTATGTGCTACACATTGAAAAATACAACTACTCCGTGTGATCAGTATCCTACTCTACAAGAAGCAGCCACTGATTTGAGTAACAATATTAGGGCATGACCCAAATTATGAAGATGACTAAGAAACAGACTGATTTATTTTATTTGACTTATTTTAGTTGCTATTCCTAACTTTTCCCCTCATCAACACAAAAAGAAATGCTTCTGCTGACCTGAATAACTGGAATATGGAGCCAATGACAAAGATCTCTCTAGCAATTCATATTCGTTATTGCTGAAATATATACTTCTTTAACAAAGACGGTTGAAGAACCTGAATTTAGTGACCACTTCAGCTCTAAGGGGTGACTGCTTAATGCTCATCTTTGAGTATGAAATATGAGTCTCTGATTTCAAGAATCGGTAGCCATTTCCACTCAATGCCAGTCTCGTACAAGCAGAGCACACAGAAATCAGAAGGGGGAAAAAAATGGTCTCAGACTCAAATTTGACCTAAAAAGTCACACAACACCTATGCTAACAGCTTTAATAGAACGAAATTTTCTACAGATTTAATCTTCTGAATCATATTCTTGACTTTTGTTTGTTTAAAACTTTGGAACCTAAAGAAAAAGACAGAAAAAACATTGGAATCCAAACCCCCAAACTAAACCACTTAAAGGGCTGAGCTTGAAAAGACTCCTGGATGCACTCTATTGAGGATGTGAATCTGTCACAAGCACTTTAAAGAGAGAAACTATACCACTTTTTTAACTACATAGACCGGAACAGCAACATTTCTTCACAAAATACTGAAAGCTCATTTTATTTGAAATTGTGTTAAAAATATCAAATTGCTGTTTTTCAATTAACCATTGTCATGTCTGGTAGATAAAGCCTTATACAGCTTAGCTGCTTTCGCTTTATACTTTAAGTGACTCAGTAACTGAAGTTAAATTCAGATCAATGGAGAAAAAAAGACAGTCTGAAGTTCAAACCACTTCTTGCCCCTACACGCCAATGCACAAACACAACGCTGCTTCACAAACATTTGCAAACTCCTCAGCGATTTCTTTCGGACCACGCTGGAATACATAATTTTCACTAACATGCAGATATTTACGACTTAGGTAACACACACTGTAAAATCAGTACTTACCTGATATTTATACCTTGTTTGTGTATTTTACATGCATCAGAAGGCAGAATTCGGGAAAGTAAAGGCACTAAAGGTAGGGAGAGAGAATGCAATTAGGACATGGAGGTTCCTCTGCAAAATATTTCTATTAAAACTATACATCAGTTTGAATCTCGATGTGTTTTAATACAAACACAACATACCCATTTTTCATCATAATCTCAATACAAATACAACTGACTAATACCAGGGTTATTTCTATTCAATAACTGCAAAACTGATTTGTAATTGTTTCAGCATCAGGACATAATTTAAAATGTCCTCAGCCACAGCTAAATCATTTATAAATTCTAATAACTCGTCTTCTAGCTGTTTGAAATTCTAATTCTGTTATTTGATAGTTCACTTGTATATTGTACCAACTGAAAGCTTAGCTACAATTAAAGCAGAACACCCCCAAGCAGGAAAAAAAATATCCAACGCACTAAGTTTAAAACATCAAGCAAACATTAAACCACCAGTGGAACTGAGAGTCAGTATAGTATTACGAGATGGATCTATCAGACTGCAGCTGTCCTTATGCTAAAAAGTGCTATTTACTTTATAGCAATAAAATCAATTCAACACAATGGGATTTCAACACTTTCTTCAAAATGAACTACAAGGAATTAAGAGCACATGTAAAATGTAATTAGCCTAGGGGACCAATAACTGGGACAGAGGCACTGCCCAGAGCATCTTTTTCTCTTCAAGAAAGAGAATATATAGAAAAAACTAAATAATGTAAACAGAGGCACAGTGAGACTCCTGGAGAAGAGGAACCCTAGAAGTTGGCTTTACCCCTGGCATCACTTTTTCTGTGTGATGTCCGACTGCCACCATCATACTCTGCAAGTCAGGCTGCAGTCTCATCACTAAGCAACGTCTTATCTTACACCATGCCTATACTCTACTCTCTTTGTTATGCTGTCTCTTCCATGAAAAAGCATACTCATTAAATGTGCAGCATACAGTAAGGCCACCTAGAAAAAGGAGGTGTTTGTTCCATATCTGTTCAACGTTTGATGGCGGCCTGGCTGCTCATTCCTCCTCAGAATATTAGAAGCAGCATATAATGCAGCAAATACTTAGACTATGCCTATATGAAAGTATATAAAGTTACTAACTTAAACATCAATGAGTAATAGAAGGTATCACTTCCGATATTTTGACATTTTTCAGACATATCGATCATTGTTAATACATTTTTGCTAATTTATTTAGATTTTTCTTCTACAGGAGGTGGAAACTGAAAGAACACTAAATGTTGTACAGTCACATAAGAGAAACATGAAGGTGAAGGTAGGGTTTGAAGAACCTACCACATAGCTGCGCTTAACTGGCAGTCACCATTCAGAATACAGGCTGAAATTCAGGAAGCTAAATGCCCCAAGTCCAGTTACTCATCTAAATTGTTCAAACCAGTTGCTCCATAATGACATCAATTGATCAGATAGACATTTTAATATTTTACTCTTCTAATAATCAGTTTCTTAAAGTAAACAACAGCTTGCTCCCCCCCCATATTTGGATTGTGTCATTGGATTACAGAATAGAATTCAGCTCCAAAAATGAATAAGCAAAAACAATTCAGCAAAAAAGTTCTGTCCTTTCTTTATAACTTAGATTGTGAGAACTGTATTGAGAACATGCAAACCAGAAGGGAATTTAAGCTTGAGAGAACAAGTGTGCTGAAGACTGATTGCATTATCTCCCTATGAAAGGAATATGCAATTGCTTACCCCAACTTTGAAAATCCCAGTGAAGCTCTAGGTAGAAGTCACCTAGCTGAGATGAAAAGAATATATTAACAAGCTTTTTAGTCTAAATGTCAACTGTAAAATTTGCTGAAAGACAGGCAGAAGTTGTATTTTGCCAAAGAACTTTTTTCTCTAATGTTAGTATTTGAATTTATACTGAACTTAAACAATTCTGAAGCTTTAACTAAAGCAGAATCAATAAGGATAAAAATTGTGACTCATTTGAACTACCCATTTTTAATCACTTCTTAAAATAATAATTTACACAGCTATTAAGCCATGGAATTTAAAAGATTTATTGTAAATATGTGTTTAAAAAAAGACCTGTGGAGCTCTTCGCTTCTTTAGTTGATCACATCCAGCCCCATGGAATTATATGTTCTGGCTTAAATTAGTGACTCAGGTTTCAGCTAGAAGTATTCACATACACAAATTTCAATTTGCCTTCTGGAAATATGCTTAAGCCATTATATAAAAATTCCTCTACCTCCACAAATACATGCCAGCCAACTCCTTTAACTGTATGCAAAGCAAAAGCAAAGTAAGGGTTGACTTGATTAAAATTAGCAAATGTTGGTAATACCACTGAGGCAGCTGCATACTTCCACTGCACGCAAGAAGAAAAACATGCAACTCTAGGCCAGGTATTGCACCACCAGGAATAAGGACCAGCAGAGCTGTTTTAGTAAGGCTGGGTCTGCTTTCTGTTTGCTCTCACACAAAACCTGAAAGCTTTTCACTTCTTGACAGACAGCAGGGGTTTTTTTTATCAATGAAAACCGTAGGAACATTGGTAGAGCATATTCATAGAATGTATCAGTGATGCAGTTTAGCTCAAATTTTCAGATGTATGGATTAAGATAAATAGTTTTTTTACAAACCCATTCATATTTTACCACTTGACTAGGCAGGAGAAGCTCACCCCACTGAAAGGGAAATAACCACCTGCGTTTTATAACCTCAGTTTTAGCACACTAGCAGCAGTTTGAAACAGAGGAAATTGAGCTTTTCTTCTTGGTTTCCCTAAACTGAGGAACGTTTCACTGTGCTCAAGAACTGGCTGCTGCGTGTAGATGGAGAATTAAAACAAAAGTCTCTCTCATTACTAAGCAAAAAAATAAATTGTCATTCATGACTGGCGGCTAAAAAAAATCAGTAAATTATTCACCAAAACAAAAGATTTAAGAAAGCCTTAAAAATCTAATGAAATAAATACAGATTAAAAATGCGTTCTTTAACTTTTAGGTTGCAAAGAAGACTAGCAGATCTGTCGTACAGAAACCTTTCTGTTTGAATTTCTAGACGCTGAGAAGGAAATATTATCTTAAAAATACACATAATTCTGTGACCCTTTAAAATGGGCACTGTAAGCCAAGATTGCTATTAAGCGCAAAAGAAAGTGAAAAACTTTACAGTTTGCCACAGCATCCATACTAAGAACATAAGCCACTGCTTTCCATCACAATCTGTTTTTGTCAACACAACTGCCTTGAACTTACCTCTTTCAGGGCTTTTAATAATCGAGGTCGCTTTTCTTCAACACTTTCCCTGGACTGCTGTTTAAGCTTCCTTAGGAGTGCTGTAACTAAACAGAAATTAACTATAAGGTAAATCTATTCTATTTGTTTAAGTACAGGTTAATGTAATTATTTGACATCTTAAAAAAAGAAAAAACAATGCAAATGCAACATTTTATCCAACTTTGGAGAAATTCACTTGAAATTATAGGAATTATACATAGCCTACTCTGATCACAACAGGAAGAAAAGCCTCAATAGTTGTTTATAATATAAAGTATACAATTATGTCAAGAGGTCTTTTACATGCATATTAGTAAACATGGGGGTACACATGTATATTACTGAACATGAGCCTGTAGATTGCATAACATCTACTCCCACTAGAGAAAATTCTTTAGTCGTGACCAGTTGGCATGCAGAATGTTATTAGTATATTATAAACTATTGAATTAATGTATTAATAATATATTAATATGTATCATATATAGTGAGTTTTCTGCTATGGGACACGATAATATCAAATACTATTAACATCCACTAGTAAGTAGCAGTAGAATAATGTTCCCTTTACTACTTCATATCTGAAGTGAGTAAGCAATCACTATATTTGCCTGCTGGCCTGTTGAGATGAAACATAAAAGCAATATTCCATTGCCAATTGATATATCAAATATACATATGACCACAGGGAGCAGTTCCAATTAGACGATCCCATAGAGCTAAAATCCATTCTGACCTTGTAACTATAATTTTAGATACAAACAGAATGCTAGTTTATAGCTTTTACAATCACTTTAAGCAAAACCTTAACTCTACTTAGCATTACGTAACCTAATGCAATTTCTTTCTTATCAAGGAAATGGACATGTATAGAACTCGTCATATCACCTCTAGATATGAAAAAGTTCAACTGATTAAGATAAACTCTTCAGAGAACTAAAATAGGAGTATTATAAAAACTCCTAGCTTGAAAACCTGTCTTTCTGTTCTGAATGAGGCCTCAATTTCTGATTAATCGGGAAGCAGAGGTTCTTACTCATTTGTCTGTCTCCATAGCTGATGGCTTCTGCAAGAGGGCTCCATCCCTGAGCATTTTTCACCTTTACTGGAGCATTATGGGCTAAAAGCAAGTGTGCACATTCTGTAAGAAAATAGTAATAATTATTTACAGTAAACATCAAGGATGTAGCAATATCATTCATAATAAAGAAAACAATAATAAAGTAAAAGTAGTCGATATTCAATATATTAAACAGTTTATCAAAATACGTACCTGGATTCTGACTCAAACTTTAAACAAAGAAAAAAACCATTTATGTAAGTACTTATGGCACTTCCCTGTAAAAAATTAGTACTAAAAACATAACTGGTGATCAACTACCCAATTACATAACCACTGAAGAAACATCTCTTCTGCTTCTTATATTTTGCTTTTTATAAATTTGTATTTCTGTATGCGCACATACACACACAACTACACAACTATTTTTAAATCATTACATCATCTCTCTCTCCTTAATGCACAAAACCGCGTACCAAGACACACTTAACGGTCTTCCACATGTGGAATTGTGCACGGACTTCCCCCTCTCTTATCTCTACCCCTTTCACGCAAAGGTCTGATTTGCTAGAAACATGCACGGAGACATAGACTTTAGGCAACTCTTGAGAACATTGCGTGTACGGGAGGCAGAGAGGAAACTGTGGCACTAACACACCCCTATGTGCTGTAACATCTTGTGGTGGTAACATGGCATCTACAGTGGGCAAACAAGCACACTCTGACCTAGGCAAGCCTGAGAACATGTGCGTAACTGGCTGTACAACAAGTAACAGATACTATAGGACCAACAACGTGGATATCTGGAGCACTGATAAGACAGCACACAACTCATGGTCCTGTGCTCCATCAACAGACGTACACTTGCAATGTGCTACATTTTTCATCAACAGCATCAGTAACAGCATGCATCAATGCTATCCCCGAAGCTCAGCATGCACACACTGTGCTGATAAAGCAATGTTTACATCTCATCAAAGCCACACAAGTTCCTGGCGGAGTCACAGGTCAACTGGCATTCGCTTGTCTGTCTATGGGTAAAAGGTGATGGTAGAATGATGAATAGCCCTTAAAATCAGGGAAAGAAGAAAGCTTTCGGTGTTTCCATGTTTTGAATAAGCTGTCCTCATTTGCAACGGTTCTTCAGCTGCTAACTACAGAAAGTTTCCTCACCACATCTCATTAAAATCAACCCGACCCATGTGCAAACGTAGGCTGAAGAAATGTCTCATTATGAACAGGATGGGCAGGCATGACGGATAGAGGAACTGCCTGCATTATTCTCCTACTATAGGTGTTACAGGAAGCTGTACTAGTCATTCGAGATGCAACAGTCGTGAGTCACTGGCAAGCACAGTGTTTGGAAAGGAAGAGACACTTCACTGGGGAATATACTGTCTTTTGTGGTAAATAAACAAAAGCCCTGACTATTCTGCCAGCAAACACAGAGAAGTATTTTTATGGTTACTTAAATATAGTGCCTAACACAATAACAACACTGTACAGTGAACAGGCAAATAAGCTTACATTTACCAGCCAGATTACATTTTCAGTTAAACAAACAGGGTATAAATTCACCCCGCATTTCAGAAAAGACTGGCTATAATGCTGCTATATACAGCTGAACAGTCTATATGCATCACCCCAGAAAGACAGAAAACTGACCTTCGATACCAATTAGACAGACTAACAAGGTAGGAAAGGACCTGGGGCTCTAGGTGGATCAACGACTATGCAGGATTCAAAGTTGAAACAGTAAATCAGGTATTGTGATGGATGTCATGCACAAATAGCCCTGCTCTAGGCAAGCTAGACAAAGGCTCACCACAAGCGTCCTAAAAGGATTTAGGGCTTTACACACAGGATGACTGACTACATGGAAAGAAGCCAAGAGGTGAATTGCAAACTGCAATCTAAAACATGCAGCCAGTGAGAAAAGGAGTAGAGGGAAGAAATGCTGTACTATGCATGAGGATAACTCATATTCAAGGAATCTGTCAGCACTAAATAGATCGCTTTTTATCCTGGAGCTGAAACATAACCAAATTTTAAGAGAGACTTTCAATAAATATTCAACCATAGTGAATTGAAGTTGGTAAATTCTTTTCTATCCGTTTTATTGGAAGAAGCATCTTTGAACAAAATTGTTTGTATTTATTAATGTGGTACGATACTGTTGTAGTTATATGGAAAGTGTCCCTTCAGGACAGCTAATCGCCTTTTAACCAAAACCACACAACCCCTTCTACACCCAACAGTGCAAAACTTGTAAATATTAACTGATGACCGTAACAAACTAAGGCTTGAAACAAACACTGCAATAAGGCACAGTAGAAGTTATACACATAGCTGATCATCATCACTTGAAAACACAGGGTAAGTAGTTACAAAACTAAAATCTATCTTACGAAGAAAAATGTCTCATTTAAGGCTGAGAAATTAAAGGAAGGCGGAAGGCTTCTGCCTCCGTTTCTTTCTATTGTTTTAAGCCTCTGGTCTAGGACCCTAACTGAAAAACAGCAGTTCTGAGAAATCAACATTTTTTGCAAGTTAAAAAAAAAAAAAAAAACAAACAAAAAACCAACTCCTGTGACTTCTAGTAGGCAGGCACCCATAAAACATATTTTCTTCACTGCTGTCTCAAATGTTTCTGCAAATCTTCTTCTTCTCTTATTTTTTTTTCTGTTTAAAAAGTATCACAGGCTAGACCAATATTGGCAGATTCCAGCAAGCTCTACTGTTTCTTAATTCTGCATAAGCCACCTCTCCCATCCTCCTTTAAAATTACTTCCCACTGTAACTCTCAATTATCTTAGATCACTTCCTAGGTATTGCCAAAACAACCTAAGACAACTTACTGCATTTCCTGCATTCCCCTCTCCAAATCTGCCAGGTGTTTCAGTTAACAGCAGCTCTCTCATGGAGCCGTACCACATACCAGGCATAGGACTCACACAGCTGAATGACAACAAGCCATTCTTGTTTCAGTAGTGAAAAAGAATTTTACTGTCTCAGAGACTAAACAATCATACTCCAAAGTCTCTTCTCAGTCTTGAAACATGTTTACTTCTATACTTTCTATTTGAAGTAGAAATTTAATTCCTGTGCCTTGAAATTCTACTGTAAAGAAATCCTCAAAAGACACCTGGAAATATGAGAGCCATCGTGAATCAACAGGCTGCACAGTCCCGTAGGCTGTCCTGTGCCCCGAATAGGGCAGTCTTGAAACATGAAGAAACAGCTAGGCAGTGGGTCAGAAATTTGAATCGAGTGAAGGAGTATGCAAAAAGCAGGTGAGCGATTACATTTCCATTCACGGAGTCATTTTATTCTAGAGGGTGTTATTCTGATTCACTTCACTAGGAAAAAGCTAAATGGGGTTGTTCAACACCTAGTGAGCAGATCAGCAACAACACACACAGTGACGCTAATAACCAGAAAAGTGTTGACAAAGAGTAAGGGTAATCATCACACAAACAGAAATTAATAACCCTTCTGTACCATGAATTAATAGCATATTAAAATAGAGATCTGCCTGGATCAAATCCCCTGCCTACACATACTGAGTCTATCCCTCCGCTTCAGTTGCTTGGATGCCAAAAGGGAAGCAGGCATGCATACGCTTGCTTCCACTGCTTAGAGCTGTTTCTCAATCTTCTATCATAGTCCAAGTTTCCCAATTTCATTCCAACTCTGCAAAAAGAGAGGAGAGGGGTCGACCCACTGTTCTCGTTCTAGGCTCATAAGGAGTCCCAACTCCTACAACTCCTTTCTGCCCTACCCCATTCACTACCTAGCTCCTTGATTTTGGTCTAAAGAACAGCTCTGATTTCTTCTCCAACTTTTCTCTTCCAAATTTGAGTAGCCTCTTCTGTCCAGAAAACCTCAACTTTGAACTTGCTTGAAACACAAGATCACGTTCAGAAAAACCGATAAATCTTTTTTTCCCCTTGCCCCTAAATCTTCAGGATAATTTAAGAGCTAATTAATGGTTTTACCTACCTTTATGTCCCAACATCACAGCAAGATGTAAAGGAGTGTTTCCTAAAATAAATAACAGAAATAAAAATATATTAGATTCAATTAGAATCCATTGCAATTCCTTCAGGCATTTGCACATACAACACAAGTATTACACGTTAAGAAACTTCAGTTACATGACCTAACTGAAGAACACACTAAAATATACCAGAGCAGTTACATTTTTCTAAGTGAGCATTTGGATTATACTTGTTAAAACAAATATATCTGAAACACACTTCAGGAGTGCTTTTTTTAATGACATCTTGAAACATACTCCAGATGAAGAGATCCTATTGTATCTTCAAGAAAGAGATAACCCAAAACCTCTGTGCTTATCATAATCTGAAAATCTGGTATTTTACAAAGAATGGCGTATCTAGGTTAAAAGCTACTCAAAGATATGATAGTGATTAAAATTTTAAAAGCCTATTTTATTAATTTTTCAAAGATTTAGTACAAAATTTTTACTAATACAGTATTGGACAGGTTGCGAAGTAACAGTAACTTCTCTATAAAAAAGCCTTTTCATTATTTTAATGCCTTGTTTCCAAAGAAAGCTTCTGAGATTATTACCAGATATTACAAACTTGACCCTATTCTCCTGGCTATGCATATGACTCATTTTGTACTTCTGTTCTTAAATATGCGCTGTAAGGTAGAGTTGTTTTTCTGGATTAATGCTGCTACCAGAATTCTGACGCATTTTATTTATGTAGCTTAAGGATGCAAAATTCTTCCATTTAAATGTATTACTCTGTTTATATGTTTAAACATTTTCTTAGTGGGGTTAAGAGAAAAATTGCTGGATAACAAATTTCTTTTGCAATTGTAACGAATGCACTTGATTTGAGGGCTATTTTACAGTATCATGTTAGCAATAAGTACTTGCTACATGCAAAGGATGATGCACTGCACATCTAAAAGATGCAATCCAAAACATTGAGAGGTTGCTACACAAAGTAATTGCCAGCATACTATAGTATCATGAAATCTCTGATCAAGATAGGTAAGCAGTCAAAGACAGAGTTTCTAAGTGGTTTTCAATGAGCTATTCAACATGCAGTACAAATTATTCTTGAGGGACACTAGCAGTGTCACAGACAGCTACATCCTAGTTTATTATGCACACTCTAACTAAGCTAACCTCAAATTTTCTATTAATAGATTTTGTAACATCTGAGAGTCAAAACATAATTTAGAATACTGGATGCAGCCGTTCTTTGTTAAGTGACTGAAATAATTACTGAGGAACAAACTTGAGAATGAGCCAACCCATGTACTCAGAAAACTCAAATTATGCAAGCCAGGGGTAAACATTTTCCTCACCTTATCAAGCACTTCAACAGGATACAGATATATATAAAAATAGCTCTACATTAAGGTTTTTCTTACACTAATAAACCTTAACATTTAAAAAAACACCCCACCTTTCACATGGTGAATAAAACATAGCCAGACAGTTCCAGTAGCTATGACAGCTTGCTATAATGGCACGAAACAACAAAACGAAAGCTAACCAGGCCCCTGATGCTTTGCTGAGAACTTTATCGGATTTCATTCAGCCGATAAGCAGAAAGCACAGTGGTGCGATAACACACATCATTTCAAAACTCCTCAGGACAAGGTTCTGAGTGACCTGATCTAACTCCAGTGTTACCTCTGCTTTGAGCAGAAGGCTTGACTAGATCACTACCAGAGACCTCTTCCAGCACAGATTTTTCTTTGACTCAATGATCATCTTCTCACCAAAAAGCATGCAATTCAAAAATTAGATAGGAAACCTGGATACAGCAGACAAGGGGGAGAGGAAGAGGAGCATGCAGAAAAATAGTACAATAACCGATAAAGCACAGAAACTAGAATCAATTCTAGAAGAACAAAAAAAAAAAGACTATTTATGAGGAAGCTGAAGAGGTAATATCTTGCTTGCTGGCCTTTAGCCAGTAAGTCCCTGGCAATGAGGAGTCTAAGGTTTAACAAACGTCAGGGAGAAAAAAATAAAGAGGTTAGTTGCTGTACCAATGGGAGAGGAGCCGCCCTAACAGGTATGCCAGGAAAGCACCTTTTAGGAAAGGGAGTAAGAAGGGGAGGCAATAAGGAGGAGAAGGGGAGGCAATAAGAAGCCATCCAAACTGTGTAAGGTTGCATGTCACAAAACAAAGAAATTATGGTGAGGAATCACTCAGCTCTTAGACTGCCTCTATGGAATCTTCAGGTTCTTCCCCCGCAGCAGGAGAAAGGGTAGAGCTGTTCAAGCAGAAAGACTCCTCTTTTGTCTAATAATAGTGTTAATCAGAGGTAAGCTTTCACTCTGCCCATGAAAACTGAGGGAAGACAAATGCCTTGGAAAAGATGAGGCCAGTGCTGCCACAGTCTCTCATTTAGCAACAACTGCCAACCATCAATACTGAGTAGCAGGAGCAGTACTTATCAGGCTTTGAAGCGGGAAGCAGCCCAAGACTTTCCATAGATTTCATCTCAGAAACCTGTCTGGCTGGCAGGCACAACTGGACAAGTTAACTTCTATTCTTTTGGGAGATACGGGATCTGAAAATGTAAATCCAATCTCAGCAGCTGCTGAAACAGAGACACACCACCATGCTCTTGCTAGCATTTGGATGATAAACGTCCCAGACTGAAACATTAATTAGTACCAGTATTTACAGAGCTCAAAGGAAACCACTCTACCGGAATTTTATTGCACTGCAACCTCAAGTTCCACTGATCCTAAAATACAAATCCTGTTTAGTTGCTTCATAATGGCAAGGACAGCTGCAGTTCCTCTAGAATGTTTACTATCTAGCACATACAGAATAATTCTAGGTAAAATTGGTCTGATGAAAAAAAAAAATGGTGAATTTTAAAAGTAATCCACTTTTCCTAGCCAGTGCACAGTACAACTAAGCATTTCTGCCAGAACAGACAAGAGGGTAGGAGAGGGCAGTTTCACTTCTTTCAGCTGCATGGATGGTTTTAAAGCTTGAGGTTTTCAATGAACCACAGCACAAGCCACAACAGTAAGCGTTAGATTCCATGAAAACAAGCAGCTTTACAGGAGACAGCTGCTGGAGAGAGGGAGAGAGAAGGGTGCAAATATACAACCATGTCATTTACCTAAGTAAGAAAGCTGTAATAAAGAGGGCACTGTAAATAATTAAGTGGCTGACGTGTAGTTTTGATGACTTCCATGCAATTTAATCATAATGATAATGTGTTTGATATGATCATTTCTAGACACTGACTAGAACATGAATGGGCACATACTTGAACAGTTGCAATTAAAATAATTCTCTTTTGGCAACAGCTTGATTCACCATATAAACAAACCTCACGTTTCCCTTCCATCTAAAGACAACTTCATAAATATCTATAGCTTTGGCAAATAAGCATATAAGCTTCCCTCCCCAAGTCACATAGCCTCCAGGGCCTTATTCCAAGAAAGCAGTGATACAACAGCACCTGAAATCCTGCATGTGCACATCCAGGCCACGCAAATAAAAAACTGTTTGCACAAAAACACACATAAAATACAGTACTTGTCCACATGCACGTGCCAGTGTAGCTTTTAACCTTTTGATAGGCATCTGGCACACCTACAAGGAAGCTGAGCCTGTTTCCCAAGAGTAGTTCAGCAAGATTTGTCTATTCCAGAATATAACACTGTTTTATTCTAAATATATGATTAAGCTCCTAAATGTGTATTATAGTAAAAATAACAGTAATCTAATAAGTATACATACAAACTTCTCCCAAGAAACTCATTGGTTTTGGAATAATGATACTAGCCTTCCCACGGGTAATGTTTTTTGAGGTTAATTTAGAGAGCGAGGCAGGCTGCACTCAATTTACAGACACAGCCAGCATTTGCTTTATCAGAACACCAAGAGTTTAACATTCTACAGGACTTGGCTTTTCTGCACTTAACTGCACACTAAAAATGGAACTGAATTATAAACAATAACTGTTACTAGAAGTTCTTTCTCCCCTCTGCCACTTCCTTATCATGTAGTAGGATTCTTCTGGCTTATTTCTGAGTGTAATTGTAAGCTGAAGTTATCTACCCCAAATAACTCAGGATTCAAATATGTAAACAAGGGACAGATGGATTCAGGCAGAAACAAAACAATAACAAGGAAATACTAGTCAGGCCTTTGGTATGTCAAGGCGTCAAGGGTTTTGTTGTTAGGGTTTTTCTGAAAACTTAATAGCAAAGAAATACTTAAAGTAAAAACTTGAAGGAAGATAATGAGACAGAAATCTGCAAAGCGTTCCTACTGTAAACAGCATTGAGAAAGACAGCAGAAAGACATTCAACATTTATATATATGTGTGTGTGTGTGTGTATACATATAATAAGGCAGCCCAATTGTGTGTGTGTGTGTGTGTGTGTATACACATATAATAAGGCAGCCCAACATGCAGACCGGACCCATTTCATAGAGAAGTCTACCTGGGGTCTGGGTTAGAGATGTGGAAAGAAAACTTCCAACTCTGGCAAGGCCCAGGGATTATTATCCATTATTGATTTTCCAAGTAGGCAGTGATGAAATCTCAACAAGAAGTCTGAGGGCAATTAAGAAGGACTTCAGGGGGATCAGGTGCATAAGTAGCATTCTCCTCTATCATTCCTATTACAGGGAATGATGAGGGAAGGAACAGGAAAAGCCAGGAAGTAAGTACCTGGCTCCGAGCCTGGTGTGAGGAGTAGAATTTTGGGGTATTTGACCATGGGTTGGCCTGCACAACACCAGGTATGAGAGGGTACAGCTGTCTCCAAGGAGCAAAAGGATGCTCTCAAAGAAGTTAGAAGGGCTCACTGAAAGAGCTTTAAACTAGATTTGAAAGGGGTGGGGTGGGGTGTGAAACCAGGCTTGCTAGAAATAAGCCTGGGGATGGCATGGCAAAGTGTGAGGGACAGCAGTGCTAGCAAAGTCCTTTGGTCTGTCACCTCAGAGGAATTGCCGGATAGTAAACCAAGCGGCAGCAAAGATGCAAAGGTTATCAATGGATTAGTAACAACTGCAATTAGTCACTTAAGAATTGAGACTTCACCC